CCAACCCAACCCGGATAGTCGGCTGGTTCGCGGTCGAACCCGGTCCGACCCCAGTCCGGTCCGGTTTTCAAAACATTGCTCAAAAGCTAATGAGATTTTTCCAAATCTGGTTTTTATCCTATGTAGGCTGGACCAGAATTAGTGAGTGTAAAACTCAAATTGAGTTTCAGCAGGGCCTTAAGAGGCCGGTTGATTGGGTTGGGAGGCCCATTTCTCGAACTGGGTTAAGCCCATTTCTCGAACTGTGTTAGATCCATAATTTAAGCAGGATGAGACTTTATGGATTAAGCCTAAAAGTTGGGCTAGGAGGCCCAAGAACCAATCTGGGCTAGGCCCATAATTTCATAAGGGTGTGGGGGAGATAGGGTTTGTGGCTATTAGAAAGGGGGAGGGGCGACCGTCGAGACTAGCCGGAATAGTATCGCAGCGAGAAAGGCGACCAGGAATCGAGAGTCGGAGCCAAGTAGTCTTCTCTACCAGCGTCGAACACTTGCCCGGTAAGAGATATCTTTGAACCGTAATGAGATCTCGGCTCCGTAGGAGTTGATGCAACCGGCAGAGCAAAGTTTGAAGTCGCCGACCGAGCTGGAGGTAGGGTAATCGCCACACCGTTAAAGTCACGGGAAGTGGATCTAATGCCCATGGCCTTGTCCCCGGATCTGGTGGTTCCGGCGGTGGAGGAGAGTGTTTCCTCCCTGAGATCGTCTTCAACCACAGGAGAGAGTAAGCGGATCTCCCCTCTGCACACGGTTTACCGCCCATTGAGAGTAGGAGGGCTCGACTCACGGTGGAAGACAACATCTCGTGGGGTGGAGGGAGAGAGAGAGCGACGGGTTTAACTAACCCAAGAGAAGAAGGAGCAAGATGTCGTTCAGAAAGAGCAGGGCTCCGAGCTTGAACGCCGGAAGCTGAACTTCATTTTCTGGTGAAAATCCACCGTGTCTCGATCTCCGCATCTGGGAGGATATTGAAAAAGCGCGTACGTATCCCAAAAGTGTGTTTTCAACCAAAAGGGAGATCACTTGACCAAATTACTTGCTTTAAATTAAATCAACAAATATATGATAGTTCTCTTACTACATAATCTCAATATGTTCATGAGAAGTATTCATAGAAAGATCCTTCCAACCTCAAGTTTCAAGACAAATATAGAAAATTCAGAAACCTGATAGCTATGGCAACGAACCTATTGGGTTAGTCATACTTCAGTACATAATTCGATTGGTTCATTATGTTTAAACGAAATTTTGGGTTTTTAGTTAAGTTCATATTCTATGAAATAGATATGTATAGGGTGACTCTCTTGCGAAAGGAATTCGAGCCAAAGTTATATTTTTTTTCATATAAGTCAAACATTTTTGGTTAGAGTTACTTTTCGGGGTAATCAACCAACTGATAGCATTTGAGTAATATGTAGTGATTACTGGAAAAAGAGAAAAAAACAAATTGAATAATGTGGGTACAAGATATAGATATTTGGGTATTTAAAATCATTATCCGAAAATATCCTATGTAATTATCAAATTCGTATTCTCATTTGTTGTTATAAATTAATTTGTCATAAACAAATAAAT